TCTGTCCAGCGGTGCAAACGCCTGTGTGTCAGGGGTCTGGCATGTGTAAAAACAAGCCTGTTTTGGTTTTTGCAAACTGAAACGGTAATCTTCTGATTTTATTGAAGGTCTTGAGGAGCTTTACTTTCCAAACTGCCTGGAGAACTGAGGAAATTCTTTACCGGCTGGATGTGAATTGGCCTGAGTATTCAGAATACTTTAGCGGAGCAACGTTTTGTGTAGCAGTGGACCCCCTCAACGGCCTGGTTTACGTCGCCCAAGTAAGCAAAACGGGGGGTGTTCTTTCAGACACCACGAACACAAAGGGGACAGACAAACAGCCTTATTGTTTTACTGCACTAAGTGAGCACACCAGTTTCTATTAGGCCAGTTGTGGAGTTTGTTTTTTAAATGATTTTCAAGTAAATACTTTGGTTTTGAATGGGCTAGATACTAATAGTGTTAGGTTTTGAAGCAGGTTTGTAACATGTTAATAAATTTCCCGATTAACCTTAACTTTTTGTTTCTCCCTGCCGAAAGAAAGGTACTTTCTTAATCCTGATCCTCTCTAAGCACTTATTTTTGTATACCTTCAGCGAGGGGATAACATCCCAAAGGTATTAGTGTTCACAGAGGATGGATATTTCCTGCGGGCCTGGAATCACACAGTTGACACACCTCATGGTATATTTGCAGCCAGCGCACTACATGAACAGTCCGTCTGGATCACAGATGTAGGAAGTGGTATGTGTAGTAATGTCTATTCAGTTATCCTGATAAAAGTCCCGTCTTTGCCCATGTTCTTGCTTGTACCTCTTACAATCAGAAATGCTGTCTAACTTGTAGTTTCTTTAATGATCCATGAAATCACTTGTTTCTATAAATCCTTAATGTCTGGAGAAATCAAGACATTTAAATAAAGGGACTGTAATTATTATGCTCCTTAGCTTGTCAAGGCACTTTTCCTCTTTAAGCCATCAGTTGCTCCCCTCCTATTAAATAATTCTAAACCTCTCTTGTGAACCCATTAGGTGGCAGACTCTAAAAGCTAATGCACGGAATCCTTGCCTCTGATTTTCTTTTTCTAGTTCTCCTGCAAAAGAGATGGTGCTAAGAAACCAGAACTGCCCCATTGTCGAAAATGCATGATGTGCAGAAACTGCCAGTGTTTTAACATTTCTGAAATACCACCCAGTGATTGAAATCTTCTATCACATATTTTTAGTGCAATGTCTGAAATGCAAAGTCAGCATAATTGAATGAATTTACAGCTGTGCGGATAAGTTTTCAGAGGTAGCTGTTTGTATGTCATTGTGGCTTGAGACAGTAAGGTACCAGAGATAACCTGGCATCATATTCTCAGCATCTCAGAAAGGAGTGGTATCAGAAAGCCAATATTTCTAGCTCTCCTTGGCCCAGTCACATTCCTGCCTTGAAGGTCAGCCTTTGTCCCCAGTCCTGGTTACTTTGGAAACCTATTCAGAGTTAATGAGCTCTCAATTTTTGTAGGAAGAGCCATATACCACATCTCTTTTTAGAACCCAAAAGATTTCTGAGCCTCAGTTGATAACCCATTTATTGCAAGCTGTATTTTGGATGGTGAAATTCTGGTTAAACCAAAAAATCTAGATGACTCTGAATTCATTGTAACATTGTAATGAAATTTTAGTCTTCTCATCCTTTTTTTTCAGAACTCAATGCTAAAGGCCTTTGCTTCTTAAGACATTACATTCATGTGAACCTTTATCAGTAAGTCACTGATTTCCAGTAACAAGAACACACATGATCTCTTCATTCTTTCCATGACCGCTTATTTTCCCATGCACAGATCCAAAAACAGCTTTTGTCTTCCTTCCCGTTTTTCGAAGGAGGAAATTCCCTTCATTAAAAACATGGCTGCAAATCAGCCGTGTGTTGAAAAATGTTATTTGCTGGTATTCTCTTTTGCCAATTCTTTAGAAACTTTGACATTTGCTTTCTTTAATAATGTTTGCTTATTGCTACAGACTTCAGCTCAGGCTTCTAAATCAAGTATCATAGCACAGTTTTCAAGGTAGAATTTTTTGAACACGTGATTTGGTCTCGTTATGCCTTCAAGGTGATTTCTGTTAACTGCCTTATGGTTTCTCCCTATTTATTAATATTCTGCTTTAAACTTGCTTGTAAGATCATTTTAACTCAAGAAACCTTGATGTAACTGAGAAGATGCTAGTGATTTGGCAAGATTCAGTGTCTTCTTAAGAGAGACAAGTTAATGGGTTGAATTTTAGATTTTATTTCCACGAGGAGAAAATGTAGTCTTAAAAAAATCTGTACCGTAGAGAACTTTTTTTCTTGACCTACTCAGATTTGAGATCTGCGCATGATAAATGACTAAAATAACAGTTTTCGAGTATATGGTGTTCCTTGTCTTGTTCCATCTCGATTTACTTTTACAAGAAATGCTTATTCAGGGCCATAAGATTAAAAAAAAGAAAAAAAAAGTAATTTAACATAGTGAGCTTTCTATACAAGGAGTCAATTTTTTTGGTTTTATTTATTTGAACATAGGATTTACTTATTTGTAGAGTATCTGAGATTTTAATTTGTGAACAGATTTGGCTGTAATGAATGAATAAGCTTTATTATATATCAAATACCACTTTTAATTATCTGAGCCTGTCAACTCTCTATTACTGTTTAATTCTGTCAAATTTGTGCTATTAGCTTGCTTGAAATAAGTGGATGTTTGTCCAGTGGTTATATTTGTGAAAGTGCATGTCTGTCTTTGTAGGGTCCTACGGTCACACTGTTAAGAAATACAATTCCTTTGGTGATCTTGTTCAAGTCTTGGGTACCCCAGGCAAAAAAGGTACTGGTTTGAATCCTCTGCAATTTGATAATCCGGCAGAATTATATGTAGAGGACACGGGAGATATTTACATTGTGGACGGAGATGGAGGATTGAATAACAGACTGATCAAATTGTCCCCAGGTACGTGGCTTAGTTTTGAATGGCATTGCAAGACTCTTACTTTATAAGTCGGATTGATTTCTTGGAAGCCTGGCATAATATTATAACCACTGTACCTGACGCTGTGTGTAAAGGCCTCAGGCGTACCTCTAGGAAACAGCCAGACGGTGTTTAGGATGGCCGGTAGCAAGGATCCTGGTGATGTGCTTGTTTATTCTTCACCAAAAGCTGGCAGCTTCCTTTGAAATGAACTGAAGGCCGTGTAAGAGTTGATGGTGGGCTCAAGAAATAAGTGGTTTTCCCATGCAGTTGAGAAGGAGGCGATTAGGAACCTGGCGTCCCAGCGGGGCGGTGTCCTGCAGGTTGACCGGTGAGCAGTGTTTTATTGCGCCCCTGCTCTGCGTCCTCCTCTTCCAAGCCCAGGTCCGTCCGAGGCGGAACAACTCTGTGCTGCCCTCCGGAGCTGAAGGCCAAAGGAAAGTAAGATAAGGAGAAGCTCCTCCTGACTGGGGAAGGAGGGCGAGAGCTCATGAAGTAAATAGTGCTTGAACTAAACTGGTGTCAGTGGCAGGAGAATAGGTTGACAGGAGTGCCCACCGGGCTTTGTCGCATGAGGTCTGCAGGTGGAATTAGCCGGTCTTCTAGGAAAAGAGTGGAGAAGGCACTGTTGAATAGTAGGAAATAAGATTTGGGAGTCCTTGAAAGTTTTCCTAAGGATTTTGAAGCCATAGATTCTTTGAAGATTTTTAGTAGGAAATTATGTTATAGAAACAGCATTCTTACAAGACACAGCGCTCTGTATCAGAGTGTCTTGTAGTAGCTCTGTCATTGGAGACTGCGTAGTCACTTGGTCACCCAGCAACTGAATTTGTTTGATGACAGTTGGAGGTGAGGTAGGGATAAAGCAAGAATCCAAAAAATTCTGTGAAAGAAACAACCAAGTTTTGGGGACAGACTGAGTTTAGGTGTATTTGTTTCTTATGACTACTGTACCCAACTGCCACAATTGGAGTGGCTACAAACAAAAATTTATTCTCACTGTTTGGAATCCAGAAGTCTGAAATCTGCAGGGCAGGCCACGCTCCTTCTAAGACCCAGGGAAGAGCCCTTCCCTGCCTCTCGCCGCTTCTCGTAGGTCCAGACGTCCTGGGCTTGTGGCAGGGTAACTCCAGCCTCCGCCTGACTTCACATGAGCACCTTTTCTGTGTGACTCTCTCCAATCTCCCTCTCCGTTCTCTCGTAAGGACACTAGTCACTGGGTTTAGAGTCCAGGACCGTCTCAGCTTACGATCCTGAGCTTAATTACATCTGCAAAGACCCTATTTCTCATAAGGTTGCATTCACAAGCACTGGAGGTTGGGGCTTGGACACAGCGCTTTGGAGTGGGAGAGGCTCAGCGCAGCCCCGTACAGGGGCGATACAGGAGACAGACTCTAAGAACGAAATGTGCATTTTCAAGCTGAGAGGACTGGTAAATACCGGATAGTGGGTTAGTTGGGAAGACGAACCAGTTTGTGGGAGTGTTTGATGTGAACCCTAAAGGGTGATACTGAGCAATGAAAATTTAAGGGCAGATGATATCCGTAAGTCAATAGAATAATTGCTGGAAGAGAGAAGGGTTTTTTTTGTTTTTGGGGGGGTTTTTTTTGAATAGTTTTTCCATGACGTATGGTGTGAAATACAACATGCAAACGCATAGTGTCATCTGCATGTTGCTCTAACCACACGTTTACCATTTGTAGATTTCCAGATACTCTGGCTACGTGGAGAAAATGGGACAGGGCCTGCGAAGTTCAACATACCTCACAGTGTTACAGTTGATTCAGCCGGCCGGGTAAATACACGGCACCACTGTGTCTGGAAGTGTGTATCTAGGTGTGCGTGTGTATGTGTCTGAGCATGTGTGTCGGAATCTTGGTACACACATGTCGGGGTAGGTGAATATGTGTTACTGGATGTGTGTATCTGGGTGTGTCTGGGTGATTCCTCTGGGGCTGGGTATACCCACATACTCTCTTGTAAATGTTTGGGTCCAATAATGAAGGGAGGTCCCCAAATATTTAAAAAGGAGCAAAATAGATTTCCTATGGCATAAGCAAATGGTGACACGGATCATGAGTAATGTTAACTGGAAAAAGAGAGTTGCTCTCCTACCTGGAAAACTATGAGTGCTTGAATGTATTTTAATTCTAAAATTAAACTAATTCTAGAATATGTTGAAGAGAAAGGAGATGAGGGGGATTCATCTCGGGAGCTTGAAACAGAGCCACCTCGGCAGACTCTTGCTCTCGCTGGCCCCACTCTGTGGGGAACAGAACGTCACCAGCACAGCTCAGCCCATTTCTGTGTCCCACTCCTGTCTACTGCCACCGCTTTTGCTCTTACACAGCCTTAAGTATACATACATTTCTTTGGTGTCCGTCCTGTAACCAGACCCCCGCTCAGCTATTTCATACTAGTTTCTCCTCCTCTTTTCCTGTAAGTAGCCTGTACTTCATTAGTTACTGTCGTGCTCTCGTATATCATCGTCTCCCCTAGTTGACTGGGGGCTGTGGGAGGGCGTGTACTAAATCTGATTTGCCTTATATCTTAGTGCCAGACACACCGTCATCTTACACACACTTAGTAGTGACTGAATGTCCTGCCACATGGTGGGTGCGTCAGACTCTGTCAGCTTCATGCTGTTAGAAATTTAACCCATTTTCACTTCTGATGCCGTGCTTGCAAGCAGCCTTCTGATTATAGTTTGGCTTGCTGTGTCGCCGGAGTGAGAGTTTTCATCACAGAATCTTCAAGTATTTCCCATCTTATATAGGAAGGTCACCGACCACGTGAACTTTATCTGTGAATCAGGTTCCCCAGAGTTGGCATTCTGGTCTCTCACTAACCCTCCTGAGCGTGTGAGCTGCTCCCCTCGGGGAGGAGTGCCATTTGTGAGGGGCTTTGGAGATCATTTGGTGGGGTACTCTGGCATTCCTGGATGAGGGAAAATGAGTGTTAATTTGTGCATACAGGTGTTTTTTTTATTAACACCAATGCTATTCTTGAGCGTTTACATTATTAACTCATTTAATCATCACCCAAGCCCGATATGAAAAGTTAATTAGTTCCAGAGTTAGAATTATGTTTTAAACAAGATTTCTCATGATCAGATGCATTGGTAGGAAAGAGAATGCTAACAGTCAGTCCGTCCCAGGGCCTAAACCGCCTTTCCCCCGTGGTCACTGGCCTAGACAGTGATCCCCTGTCTTATCTCTAAGGAAGCCCATCCTCCCTAGAGAGTCACAGCTAAGGACAAGAGAAGTAAGTGATCTTGCTTAGGTATCAGCCACCTTTCTAAAGTGATAGAGTGAGTCTCTATTTGTTTCTGATTATGGATGAATTCAGTGGCTGCCAAAATTCACATTATAATGTGGCTTGCTATGTCGACGGAATGTTAATAAAGATATAACAGGGTTACCCTGAAGAAATAGTCCCTAAATCCACAAACCCAAGAATAAAGCTCCTGAAGGGGGGGGAGTGGAGGTCGGCAGGGTCGGCGCAGCCTTCCAGCCCATCCTTGGCCACCTCTCTGCAACCCGAGCCACGTGTCGAGAACCTTTTCTCTGTGTCTGCCCTGGAGACGCAGCACATGAAATGCCTTCTAGAATGCATCTGCCTTCCTGTTTTGTGATAATGGCTTCCTTCTTAGCTCAGTACAGCCTGTAAGAAACCTGAATCAAACCCTGGGTTTGCCTCTTACGGTTCTGCATGTGTTGCTACAGCTTCCTAAGCTTCCCCCCTAAGTGGTTTCGCGCTTGGGACAGATCTTAGGAAATAGGCAGAGGTCCGCTGATACTGTGATGTGGACGAATACGTGGCTTCCCTGTAGCCTGGGCTCGGGGGCAGGGCTGCTTTTCTTTGCCTCTTAGTATTATTTATTACCTATTATTTCCTTCACATTACCTGGCCCAGGAGCCGACAGGTTGTCAGTACTGTGTGTGTGAACGCTTGTCAGAGGAACGAATGACCGCCGTGCCTTCGCGGTGTCCACAGACCCTCTGCCCTCTGGCCGCGCGCTCCGGCTTTTCAGTGACTCAGCCGCCCAGCACCGCAGACAGAGCGTCATAGGCTTTGGGTTAAGACACAAGGCCGCCAGTGGCCCTCCCCTTACTGTAAGCTCTCATCAAATAGCTACTTAACTTTCTGAACCTTAGTTTTCTGCCTGAAAATGGGGCTTTTAATACCTTCTTCTCTGGGATCCTCTAAGTACTAAATGAAATATTTGTGAACTGAATGAAAATAAACATTTATTCTCCTATCCCCTTCTTTTTTCTTTATTCTAATTATGAGGTAGATCTTTTGCAATGAACATTTTTTGGTTTCTCAGGTGTGGGTGGCTGACCGAGGGAATAAAAGAATTCAAGTATTTGATAAAGTCACCGGGGAGTGGTTAGGAGCGTGGAGCGACTGCTTCTCAGAGGAGGGGCCTTCCTCGGTCAGGTAACTGTTTCTTTTTATTTTAAAATGCTTGTTTTACTTAGCTCATGTGAGTCTCTCTGAGGAGCTAGCTGAAAGTTCAAAACCTTCACTGGTGGTTTCAGGGAGGAAGAAAGGGACAGAGACCAGTATGCAGAGACGGAATCCTGGGCAGGGGGGAAGCAGGTACAGCCCCGGGGCGACATGGGGGCCTGCACCCCAGGCCTCTCCTGCAGCCTGAGCCTCGAAATACATGCTGTGAATTTTTAAATATAAAATGAAAACAACGATCTTGAGTCTGTAGTGCCCAACTCCATTCATTTTATTCTGTGTACTACTCCGATACTTTCTTTAAAACTTTCAGCTCGCCTTTGGCTGCGTCTGCCGTCATGGGTTGTCGTTCCCTCAGGAATGGAAGGGGATCAGATTCAAGTTCTCCCTAAAAGACCCTTTGGCGAGTAGGTGCCTCCTGATGGGCAGCACTGTAGGGGATGAAAATACTGAAAAAGTAAACGCTCAATGTTAATTTTCCAGAAATGTGCTCTGTGCGCCCTTCCCTTAGATTCTCTCCCGACGGGAAGTACCTGATCGTAGCCCAGCCGCGGCTCAGCAGGCTGGTGTTCGTGGCAGCGCCCCCCGTCGGAAGCATCGGCCACTGCGCCGTGATCAGCACCATCCAGCTCGCAGACCAAGTCCTGCCTCACCTGCTGGACGTCAGTGGGGAGACCGGAGCCGTCTATGTAGCCGAGATCGGAGCAAGACAAGTACAGAAATACGTCCCTTGGAACAGCTAGGCCCTTCACGCCCTTCATGACGCTTCTCCTCCTGGGGACCTCCAGTAACGGGCACTTTGGGTTCTCAGATCCGTTGCTGGGGGCTAACGTGCTGCTCGGACCCAGGGCTTTGTCTCCTTGTTTTCACCTGGCCTGTAACCAGGTCTGTGTTCGCACGTGAGGGATCCTGTTTTGTCGTCATTCTCGCTGACTCGGTTCTGTTGGTGACCACCCAGGACGTCGAGGGGAGGAAACGTGACTCGAAGGGCAGGGAGAGGAGGGCTGAGGTTGTGACCTAGGAATGTATCCTGGGAGACTAATTCTCCCCAGGGTGGGGTGGGAGACAGGGGTTAAAAGAGGTGCGTGGGGTCATTTATTGAATTTCATGTGTAATTTCACATGAAGAACCGCAAGCTTCCAATTTGTTCACCTTGTATGAAATGAACTGCTTCAGAGAGCAAGTCAGATGGGCTGTTGGTCTCAAGGGGCCAGAGTTGAAGAGGCAGGGTCTGTCTGTGCCTGTGTGTTCAGTGGCTGTGTCCAGTGGGGGACGTGTACAGACAGCGCACCATGGCGGTCATGTGCAAGGGCCCAGGGGCGTGGGAAGGGGGAGCCTCAGTCTGACAGAATCATGAGACAGTCGGGCGAGGCCGCCCAAGTTCCAGCTTGAGAAACAGGCGGAGAAAGCAGCGCGGCCCAAGGAGAGATGTTAGAGAAGGTGTTGAACTCGCTTCCCTCTAAAAGCCCAGGTCGGCTTTGGGCCTTGAGCTGCAAGGTACTTACTCTCCTGCCTGGAGTGTAGGAATACGATGGCAGGAACCCATGCACTTTACTGAAAGGGGCCTTATAGGTAATAATGGGAATGATTTTATTCAAGGCAGCACTGGAAATAGGGCCTCTTTGGGGCACATCTTTCCTCCTCCCTTTTTTTTAAACGTGAATCAAGTTCACTTCTAACATTTGTCTACCTCAGAGAAGTTTTAGATTATTTATATGGAATGTGTGCCAAACATTGAACTATGAAGATGAATAATTTCCCAACTTTTCACTTCTACATGTCTCCTTTACCCTTTCGGTCTGAACACTGGCTTCCCAGTTAAGACCATGTTTTCAGTTTGTTCTTGTTTAGTCTAGATTTTGGTGGGACTTGCCACATTACCACCTTTCAGATCATTCTGCTCTCGGGTCAGCCCCCCTCGCTGGCCTAGTGTCACACCGTCAATCGTGTAGCGCGGGAGGCATCTTGAGCTGGCTTCCCTCATGCCCGTCGCGCCTGGAGGCTGTGCGCCAGCCCTCGAAGAACTCACCCTTGTTTGGGTGCTTGGATCCTGTCTTCCTGCAGTTAGAAAGGCAAACCTGCCCGAGGGAAGCTCCCAAGGCCGTTGATAAGTGTTTGTGCCATCGATCAAGCTGTGTGATCTTCAGTGAATCTCTTAGTTTTCATCATTGTCTTAACTTCTTCAAGAATGTTGCGAGGATTACGTGTGTAACAGGTACAAATGTGCTCTGAAATCTGTAGCTCCTGGTACATTAAAGGCATTTTATTAGCAAAGGCCCTCCTATGTATGCTGTTCACTTGATACCAGCTATCAGGCTTGCCTTGATTTTGCATTCATTGCTTTTACCAAAATGTATCCTTATTCATGAGCTTTATGCATTTTAGCCAATATAATAAATCAATTTGGGTGAAAGAGAGTAATTTGGTATTTTATTTGTTTTGTTTTGTTTTTAAGCCAGAACAAGAAATGCAGATGTCATTTGAGGGAACACAGGTTAGGTAAACTAACCTTGTCATTTAAAAATGTTGTATTTAACATTGTTTTATATTCTTATTAAACCTGCTGAAAATATTGTTTCCATATATTTTTCTAGAAGTGTTTTTGTTTTATTGAAATGCCTGTAATCATAGAATTTCACTTTTTTCCTTTGGATTAACTGGTTAAATGAAATGTGTTGTATTTTCTATTAAAAAATGCAAATTAAAATTCTGGAAAGAAAAGACAATGTTATCTGTATCTCCATGTAAAGTTGATTTTGTTGTTATTAAAACAGTTTATAACTTCTTACTCAAGTGAAGAATTTAAACAATCATGAAATCACAGGTTAACCAAGAGAATGTCCCCTCTGTTCACATGGAGACTTTAGGCTGACATGCATAAATATTGCTAACGCGTACTTAGAAGACTTGAACGGTTGGTGGGTACAAATAATACTAATAACCAGCTACCTTTATATTTTTGCTTTAGAAATGGAACCTCTTTATGCATCTACTTAAGGCTGCAGGTACTTCCCTAGCCTCCGCTGTGACACTGGGTCTGTAAAGTGGAATATCGTCCATCAGAGGAAACGTGTGTGCGGTCTGATGGTGCCCTAAGACCTGTGTGACTTGTTCTTAGGTTATGTGACAGGTTAAGACCCACTTCAAGCCGTGTGGCTGTTAGGCTGAAGGCGAGAAATGCCAGCCTTTGTTTCCCTTTTGCTGGTTTATAACATTAGACTTTAAATCAGGAGAGATTGGACAGCCAGCATTAAAGCAGGAGCGTGTCAGGGTTCTGCTCCTTAGACTCCAAAATAAATAAGAATCATTTTTAAAGTGTCCTAAATTTATGACTTTAAAGTTGTTTTACTCCTAAAGAAAAAAAAAAGTCAGAAAAAAGCAGATTGATTCGTTCAACAAAAGTGTATGAAACAACAAATGCGTCCAAGCACATGGCGGGTGCCCTCTGCACTGGTAACTGGTATCTAGTTGGGCAAAGGGCCAAGCAACCCATTACCTCTCAGTTCATCCCGGGAGGTGCCGTTTATACTTGTGTTACATTCTTGATCCAGAAGAGGGCAGTAGAGCCCCACTTAAGATAACATTTCTTGAAATCACACTTGAGCATGTACGTTGGCCTTCTTTACACTTTAATTTTTTTTAAAATTGAGGTTAGTGTTAGCCATTCTTTTCATTTTTCTTTTTCTTCAGCTTGCTTGCATCTTGGGGAAATCGGTGCATAGGTTACATATTTTCCAAGCGTTGCTGGAAATTTTTACTGTTTAACTGAACATTCCCAAGTTTTAAAAAAAGGTTAAACTTTTTTAGTAATTCATACTAACTAACAGCCAGGAGTGAATAGTTCATTTTAAACTATAGCCATATTATGAGTTTAGTGCAATAGAAAATGCATTCATATTAGCCAGGAACTATTCTTTTTCCCCCTACTAGTTAGTTAGTTATTTATTAACAATTTTGCCATATGGTTGCTGACTTTTTTACAAATAAGTGAAATGGATTATTTACAGAGAGGCCGAGTCATTTCTCTACCAGGAACTTTCTCACAGATTCCATGAATTTGTAGAGTCAGTTAATCCTCTAAACATTTAATGACATGTAGATAGTCAATATGTGTGTAAGAACCGAGTGGGACTTGGGCAATGAAAAATAGTATTTTTGAAACTTTTCTCCGCTTCTAAACAGTGAAACAATATTGTGATTTAATTTTGCCTCTAATTCATAAAGATGTGACACTTGAAAAAAGCATGCTTTAAGTAGGTGAGTCTTTTGAATAAAATGTTTAAAAAGTAGATTGAATTCCATGTATCACAAACAAGTTCATATAAAATGCTTCTTAGTTTTCAATCTCTTCACCACTTTGTTCTCAAAGAAAATTTTAGTAGCATGGTCCAAATCTCAGATTCATTCTTCAGCAGAATTAATTACTATAATATGTGTCATGGAAATTTTTTTCCATAGGACTCTTATGTACAAATGGTTGAAATGACCAAAGTTAAATGTTTTTATACTATTTTTCTTCATAGTATGTGTGCATAAGTATTTTAATGTTTTGATTCTTACTGTATTTACCTGAAATACGAATTTTTACTTAACTAAAGGGATTTAGAAACTATGTGTTTGTTTTTAATCGACATTAATTTTTCAAATTTCTTGAGTTTTTTTCTGTGTATGTGTGTGCGTGTAAAGGGCATTATGCCCAAATATGTCGGTACAACTATATCAAGCATTAGTTGAAACCTAACATGGCTAAGTGTAAAAATGTACGTTTACAACTCATGGAAGAAAACCTGGCCTGGCAACAAATTGAAAAAGATTTGGAAGGTTTGTGGCTAAAAAATTACAGGCCTTGTTGGGAAAACACTTGTTGCCATTTCAGGGAACATTGATGTAAATATAACGGCAGTTTTATAATGTTACTATATATTGAAAAAAAAAGGCTATAGATGTGACTACATTAAGGACTTTGAGATGAGGCGATTATACTGGATTACCTGGTGGGCTGCAATGCAATCACGTGTGTCCTCGTAAGAGGTAGGCAGACGGGGATTTGACACACAGAAGAAGGGAGGGCATGTGACCGTCAAGGTGGGAACTGCAAGGATGCAGCCCTAAGCCGGGGAATGGGCTCTTCAGCGCCTCCTGGTGGGCTCTGGCCCTTCCTGGGCCTTGATATTGGCCCAGTGATACTGATTTACGCCTTTCGGCCTCCAGTATTCCCAAAGAATAAATTTCTGTTGTTTTGAGCCACTCAATGTTTGATAATTTGTTACTGCAGCTGCAGGACACTAATACAGATCTGGTCCCTGTAAGTGGAAGTGCTTCAGCCAAAATGTGCCTAAAAACGTGTATCCTTGGTATTTGTTAATAGGTAGAGGCTGCAACGGTGTTTTTTTTTTCAGAGCATGGCAACAATAATAATAAGCTAGATTTTCTAAAACTCATGGTGGAAGTATGACATTAAAGGCATACTGGTGAGGGCTCAGAGGGGACAGCCCAGTGGTTGAAAGCCTATATAATGTTAGAGAAAACCTTATCTTCATAAACTGTCAGTAAAAATTTGAGTTTTAAAAGTGCTGCTATTAAAGGCTCAGAAGGAAATGAACATGTTTTGGAAATGGGGAGATAGGAGATTTTTATTAAATAGTAGGAACAAACAAATCATAAGACAATGGAATGTCTTTAAATTGCTGAAAAGAATAAATCTAGAATTCTATATCCAATGAATGTTTCTTTGGAAAGTGAGAAAAAGATATGGCAAGCAAACAAAAGCTAAGAATATTCATTGCCATCAAATCTTTATATTAAATATTAAATGAAGACATATAGTTGAAAGAAAATGATACCATTTGGAAACTTGGGTCTACATAAAGGGACAAAAAGGGCCTGAAATGGATACTTTGTGGCTAAATATAAAACACTTTTTAAAAGATTTATTTTAAAGATAAATTACTGTTTAAAGCAAAAGTGATACTATATTGATGCGTTTAGATAACATGGAAGAAAAAACTAACAAAAATATCACAAAGGATGAGATAGGGAAAATTAAAACATTCTGTTCAAAGAATGTGAGAAATCGTATAATATATGAAATGAAATTCTGACAACTTAAAAAATACTGTTACAGTGTAACCAATAATGAAACCAAAATGTCATAATGTAATAAACCAAGAGAAAAATGCAAAATGCTATGTGAGTAGTCAACTCCAAAAGAAGGCTGGAAAAGAGAAAAAGAAGAGAGAACAATAGGAAAATAAAAAACTGCATGTTGGTAGATATAAGTGAATCATATTACATACTACATTAAGTGTAAATGGCTTAAATATTAAATTTAATTCAGTTATCAGACTCTGTAAAAAATACAGAAAAGATAAACTTACATATAAAGACAAAACAGTTAAAAATGAAAGGATGAAAAAAATAACTCCATTGCAAACAGTAATTATAAACCAAAGTAGTTATATTACTATCAGTGAAATTAGACTTTAGAAATATTACCAGAGATAATAAAGAAGATGTGGTGCATATACACAATAGAATATCATTCAGCCATAAGAAGAAAACAAATCCTACCATTTGCAACAACGTGGTTGGAGCTGGAGGGCATTATGCTCAGTGAAATAAGCCAGGCAGAGAAAGACAAAAACCAAATGATTTCACTCATTTGTACAACAATGAAGCAAAAGTGAAGGAACAGCAGCAGCAGATTCACAGAGCCCAAGAATGGACAAACAGTTACCAAAGGTAAAGGGACTGGGGAGGGAGGGAGAAGGGGATTAAAGGGCCTTATGATTAGCACACATAATATGGGGGGGGGATGGGGAAGGCAGAACAGCACAGAGAAGACAAGTAGTGACTCTAGCAGCTTACTATGCTGATGGACAGTGACTGTACTGGGAGGTATGTGGTGGGGACTTGATTATAAGGGGGAATGTAGCAGCCACAATGTTGCTCATGTGAAACCTGAGCATAAGACTGTATATCAATGATACCTTAATTTAAAAAATATGTATTACCAGGGATAAAGAGAGAAAGGCTATAATGGTAAGAGGATCAACTTCTCAGAAAAAGCTCCAAATGAAAATGTGTATATGATTACTAGCATTTCAGAAATACATTAAACAGGAATGTGACGGTAAAAGGGAAATAGACAAATCCGTAATCATAGCTGGGAAGTTCAACAACCATCTTTCAGCAACTGATACAACAGATACACACAAAAAAATCACTTAAGATGTGGGTGACCTGAGTAACACTATCGACTTTGACCAAATGCATATTTTTACAATGTTATGTAAAATAACTGCAGGATACACATTATTTTTAAGTGCATAGGAAGGAGTCACTAAAGAAGGCCACATGCCAAAAAGCAAGTTTCAGTAAATTCAGGGTTGAAGTCATGCATTTGTGAATAACTCATGTTAGAAAAACATCACAACAGGAATGAGGAAATGCTGTGAAGTAAATGAAAATGAAAATATAACAAGCCGAAATATGTGAAAAGCATTTAAAAATGTGAAATGCAGTGCTTAGATATTTAAAAAAAGGAAGTCTAAAATCATTGGTCTGTGATTCCACCTTGAAAACAAAAAGCAAATTAAACCAAAGATGAATGAAGAACATAATAAATAAATGGAAACCAACTAAGTAGAAAATATAAGGTTAATGATCTTATTAATATAAGAAAATACAAGATTAATGACAAAAAGCTAGATATCGAAAAAGACCAATGAAATTTATAAATTATACTGATCATTATACTGGGTGTCTGATTCCTTTCTCAAATTAGGG